GACATTCCATCTTAGTCCTCAGGAGTGACAAAGCATCTGCATTTTGATTCTTAACCGAGAGATGTAGATTTCTATGGGTCACATCATTCACTTACCATCAAGTGATACAGGCCATCTCGTTCGTCATCCTTATTCTATAAAGATATATGTGTAAAAATACTATATATATAATTTATTAGTAAATTCCCTACAGCGCCCTATATCAGATCCTTACACAGCGCTCATCGTTTCGGCAAAACATTTAAACTGTGAATATGACCTCAACCTCAATCGTTCAAGTCGTTCAGAAGTACACGATCACTAAAAGAAGCACCAACATGCAAATATTTCCAAAAAAATTTTTAATAAGTATAAATATAAAGATTTATGTATATAGATACAATATATAAAGATGTTTCAAAACATTTCCATTTAGGTATTGACGTTTTATTTGTATTTTGCAAAACTAAAAGCGATAATTTATTTTAATATGGAGAATGGGTTCACTACGAATTGTGGCCTATAACAGCGTACAGAATCAAAATGCAGATGCGTTGTCACCTCTGAGAACTAAGATGGAATGCCTTGTTTCCATTAAAAAGGGTTTCCAGTTCACTACACTCACTATACAAAACTCAGCAGCATTAAAGTAAAGTATTCTGTAAGAGACTGGTCCTAACCCGGTCAAGCCGACCTATTCGTGCTATAAACACTAAGATGTTTTTAATACGTCTTTGTATAAACATAATTTAGCTCCAGCTTGGCTCTACCACATTTTATTTTATTTTTTATTTATTTTTGTTTTATATAAAAATATTGGATAAAAATTGTTACATTATTGATATGCGGCACAGCGAAAAACCACGCAGGTTTGTGTTGCGTGCCGTTCCGTATACATTTACAAAAATAGAGCTAACAACTAATATTTGTTAAGGAAATAACATTTTAATTTATACTTTATGTTAACTTCATTAATTTCACTTTTAAATTTATTATCCAGACCATTTATTAAGCGAGGTATTATGTATGCACTGGTGCGCTCACCATATTTATTTTTGGATGGTATTGTTATTAATTTTTTTTTGAGTTACTTTGCGGGTCTGAATTTTGTTTGAGACTGTATGTTGTATACCTAAATTAAATAATTGTTCTTTTAACAGTTGATATTGGACTTTATCATGGATATTGAGTACCTTGCAGTGTTTAAATATAAAGTTTTCATTTGTTTTTGCCTGAAGTTTAACTTTTATAGGTACAATCGATTTTAAAATCCTAAGTTGTAGTTGATAAATGTACTGTAGATGTGATTTGTCTGTTCGTCCATAAAACCATGGATAGGGGGATCCATATGAGGCAATCTATCAGGTAGACCTATGTTCAGCAGTGGGCTCTTGTTAGGCTGTAATGGTATGGTAAAAGTAAATAAACTCCGACAGTGTCGTGTCGACGTACAAAAATTCTAAAAAGTATTACTAACAGACCGTAATGTAAAACCTTAAAAAATTGCGATTTCAACAATGAATCAAGTTAGAAACGTTGCAACTTGTTGCGTCGCCGTAAAATGATAAAAACAAGCGTGCAACGTTGGACGTTATAGGACCAATGAACAACCGAAAAAAGTAGTCAAGCATAATTTGGAACCAAACGCTCAGGGTTCAGTACAAATATATTTAAAATATTATATTACATTCTTTTTTTAAAGGACAAGGGTGACAAATGACATGACTGACATGCTTCAGCTATATTAGTAATAGGTATAGTTGTAGCCCGAATGGGTCGCCTCGACCGGGGAAGGACCACGCTCTCACAGAATACCATCGTAAAATAGCAGCTTAACACTACTGTGTTTCGTATGGTGAGTGTAGAGAAACGGAGACCCTTTTTACTCGAAACGAGGCATTACATCTTAGTCCTCACGGGTGACATCGCATCTGCATTTTGATTCGTAATCGAGAATAGATGTAGATGTTTACGGGCCGCAGCAACCACTTACCATCAGGTGGACTGTGTTCGTTTGTCACCCTTATCCTATAAAAAAATCTGGCACACGGTCCACCTCATGGTAAGAAATGCTTGGTCCATAGACATTTACATCTATTCGAGATTAGGAATCAAAATGCATACACGTTGTTCACACCTGAGGACTAAAATACAATGCACAAGGCATTCTCAAAGAGGCATATTCAAGTAAAAAGGGTCGCCGGTTCTTTAAACTCACCATATGCAACACTGCTAATATTTCTCTCATGAAGCAATCTTTGGGAAGGCCTATGTTCAGCAGTGGACTTTGAGAGGCTGTGTTGGTGATAAAGGAAGATATCGGTGAACTATTTATCGACTGATGAAAAACCAAGAAATTTATCCGTGGCTAATATACAAATATGAGGTTTTGATTCCTTTGCACGGAACCCAGAAAAGTTTCTGCTCTGATACTGATTTATCTTCGTGTACAGATTAAAAAGGAAACGCAAACCCGACATTCAAATTCCGACGCTACTCTGACGTGATGAAAGGCTGTATGCGATTTATGTCGTTGCCGCAAACAGGAAAAACGAAACCACCCGACTATCACTCAAATGGTCCGTATCTCCGTATGTGTTTTGTTTTCTACATTTTCCTGCTTTTAAATCAAAAAATTTCAGTTGTTTTTTTTAAAAAACAGATGAAATACGAATTTACAGCTCACCAGATAGTAAGTGGCACTTGCAACCAATTTTAAACAAAGAAGGCTACGGATGCGTTGTGAAATATTAGGATTAAGATGGAATGCCTCACATTGTAATTATACTGGCTCTCTATACTCTTCGGACCGGAACAGCATTGCATGCATTGACGGAACAAAAAGGTTTTTGAAGTTAAACTTCTTTTGGTGCGTGTGCGAAAAATTATGAGAGTGAATATTTTACGATGCCCGCGCACACTGACAGCTTAAAACGACCCCATGAAGTTGTTACGATGCGTGCGCACACTGACACCTAAAAGCGACAACTTCATTGGGTAACTGTCTCTCAAGTTGTCGTGGGAACTCATAACTTTATACTAGGTAGTTAGTTTTAGTTATTTTTGTCTTTTTACGCTAAAGAAGTATACCTTCCTACGTGCGTACATACATAAGTACACACACACTTGTAAGTACACACACACACGTTTTTTTATAGAATAAGGGTGACAAAGGAGAACGCAGTCCTCCTGATAGTAAGTGGATGCTGTGGTCCATAGACATCAACATTTATCCTCAATTAAGAATCAAAATTCAGATGCATTGTCATCCCTGACGACTAAGTTAATGCCTCGTTTCAAGTAAAAAAGATCTCCAGTTCTCTACACCCACCACACGAAACACAGCAGTAAGCTGGTACTTTACGCTAGTATTCTGTGAGAGCATGGTCCTACCTTTTCTACCGACTACAGAAAGGAGACGGTACTCAATTAGACTTTATGTTTTTATGTATGTTATCTCATAACTTTTATCTGGGTGAACCGATTACGATGATTCTTTTTTTTATTTGAAAGTTGGTTCTTCACATGTAGTCCCATATAAATTTGATCACGGTATGACTAAAGTTTTTGAGTTATTCTTAATAATTCATATTGAAGTCAGTGGTACAAAATTTTTAACTTTAAGTTATTTACAAAATCCGAACTAAATTATTGTGATAATTGACGGTAAACAAACAAAAGGCGTACTAAAATTATTGTGATAATTGGTGATAGAATTGGCTTGGTTGCTGAAGCTATAAAAATATCATAAAAGTAATAATGATTTAGTGTGGTATGCGTTACAAAGGTTAGGTCATTAACCAGACGGATTCCTCGACAAAAAAGTCCTATAATATATTATAATTATAGTCGTCATTCTAGTAATCCTGCCTGCCAAAAAATAAAATCACATAATGGGTTCTACAGCTGGCGCTGTGATCGACTTATTAATAAATTTTATACTTACAGTTTACCCTGTAAAAATTCGGAGAAAATTCGGATTAAAATCCAACGTGTCACCAATCCATTGAGTTATATGTACTACGTACTCTTAGAGTAAACTTCTATGTACGTACTAGAGAAGCCATTCCGAACATTGACTATGTTCAACTGAGCTGTAATGCAATCCATACAAACTAAATATTGCGTAAATTGAAGATTTGTGAATTCCATAAAATAATTATTATTACATTTTATTTAGAAATATGTTTGTTTAGATAAAATTAAGATATTTTATATTAAATTCTTATATTTATTTTATATTAATATCTTATTTTATATCAAATTAAAGTCTTCTTGCATGCGCGACTACTACTCCCGCGCATGCGCGAAGACGTAGAGTAGGACACAATTTTTGTTTGGAATGGCTTCTCTAGTACGTAGTACATATAACTCAATGCACCAATCGAAAAGTTAGAACAACGTCTGTCGGATTGACTAGTATTATCTATAATATCATAATTTTTGTAATTGTAAATAATTAACATCCTTTACAAATAACAATGAAATACAGAATAATTATTCTAGGTACACACATTGTAAGTGTAGAGCTGCTGAATGTTTAAATAATTATAGGTTACACTTGGGAGTGTCTTATTGTAATGTAATTACGCAGTTGTCGCTCGTAATGAAAGGTTATTTAACCTTGATAATATAGGTTGAATATTACTGGTTTTAAATTATTGTTTTCGGTTAACTTTCCTTTAAGTATAGGGATAGTGGAAAATACGTAGTGATTATACGCTTTTTGTACAAGAGTAAATAAAAGTAACTATACAGTTTATTTTTTAATTCTTGAGACTAATTTGACAACTACAAATGTCAAACTTAAACATAATGTTGCTACATTTTAAGCAAAGTATGATGTAGAAGTGTGAAGTTAAACTACTTCAAAAAAAATATTGCATTTTTCTTCTATCGGTATTAAATTCATGCGAAATATTTGTAGATGATTTTCATAAGTGTTCAATTTGAAGTTGTTGTTGAAAATAATTATCTATTTGTTTTCTATGTGTACTCTTAAATTAGATAAATGATCAATTTTATGGAGTATACATAGTGTTTAACAAACAGAAACACGACCAAGAGTTCCTCAGAATCTGAAACGAAATAAATACAAATACAATTAATACATTACAGCCAGTGTATGAGGTGGCATTGTAACATAATCCATCTACTCATCTTCCTGTTGGCTGAAGGCTTTGTATCCAGAGCCGCAATAAATTAAAAAAAAAACACGAACAGCTGTGGTAGTGGTTTATCTACTATATCATTTACAATAAGTAACTTTAGATAATTCGAAATTTATAGCTGTAGCTGATCTAGATGACTATATAAGATGATTCTTATGTTATCTATCGAAGTACGTAAGACGGTAAGTAGCTATGGTAGCCCATTGCACCCATGCCACTCCACTTGCTAATCATGGCAACTGTTGCAAACTATGTTCAGCAGTAGATTTTTGATGGGATTCAATACTTTATACAATCATTGTCTTTTTCTGGTATTTCGGTCACATTCCAGAAGCAAAAGTTGAACGTCCTTCGGCATGTCGCAATTACCACAGGAGATGAGACTATTGTCAAAAATAAAAGTTTCTTCGTTGGAATGTGTCTAGATTGTCACCTCAATGTGCACTGGACGTATCCTGTAACGATATAGTTTAACAAAGAAATATATATTTAACCGAATCCAAAAAAAGGTTATGAGGTTTAAAGGGTCGATATCTTCATCAATGACGGCTAATAATCTTGCGCTCACCAGATGTCGCTAGTCGACACTGAGGTGAAGTTTTTTGTTACACAATGTCGTTTAATTGAGAAGTTAGTTTTAAATAAAAGTTTATCAGTTTCTAGAGTATTATATTAATATCTACACAAAACAATGCCTCAGTGGTTTGCCCTTTAATTTTTTGCACATAACTTTTAAGTCTTTTTCACTTTTATGAATATCTGTGGTTTGGTTTGTTTACTTTTAATCTAATTGATATAAAATGTAACCTATAGTACAGAAAGAAACATTAACCGTTACATTATCTGAACAAATTATATTCCCTTGGGAATTTTTTACGTGCGCCGCCCTAGTACAGAAAAAGTCGTGGAGTCACTGTAAACTGATTTTCATGATTCCTTTTTAATATATAGGTTAAATTTAATTTGTAGTCTATAGAAATAAATAAAATTGAAGTGTCTGTTTGTAATGTGAAAATTACAGCTCTTTACTAAATGCATATGAAAGAATATACGGTACTAATAACAAAAATACAATTTTTAAAGTTTTTGTCTGTCTGTCTGTCTGTCTGTCTGTCCGTCTGTCTGTCTGTTTGTTCCGGCTAATCTGCGAAACGGCTGGACCGATTTTGACGGGATTTTCACTGGCAGATAGGTGATGTCACAAGGAGTAACTTAGACTACTTTTATTTTAGAAAAAGAATTAGGGTTCCGCGCAAAAAAATTAAAACCCCCAAATAACACGCGGGCGAAGTCGCGGGGAAGAGCTAGTCTTATATAAGTTTAGAAAAAGTCCATCCATGAGGGTGGCAAAATAGATTCCCTATTATATATATATATATATATATATTTACAGAAAAGTGTTTAATGTAACTATTTAAACGACATTAAGATTGTAATATTAAATAATATCACAGTACACTCAAAAGGGTAAAAAAAAAATTAAAAAAAAGTAAAAGCCGACAAACTAAAAAGAATAAAATAATTTCATATTCCGAAGCCGATGCTTTGATTCTTCTATACACTTTGTCTTAGCTTCGTATCGGCTTTTTCATTTTACAATTTTTTTTTCTTTAAGCAAATTATAAATAAGTAAATGTCAATGGCCTCTTTTTTTATATTTGAATATTAGGTGGTAGAAAAAAAATACATTCCTCGGAATCACTCACACTTGTAAACGCCATAAGGTTAACGTCTGCGAAACCCATCGCTGTCAACTTGCACGGCTTCTGAGCGCTGGAAATAAATTCCTGTTGTTAGGGAAAATGCTGTTACCACGTTGAGTATTAAAAAGCCTAGAGTACATACATAATTAACAATGTTTTCTTAAAACAAATCACACTTCACACAGATGGGATAGTTGGCACCATCATTTATAAGCTGGGCAGTGTTCCAAAATTTTTTCTGTTTTAGGAGATTGCTGCGGCGGCGGATTGCTGCTCCTGTACATATATGAAATTGTTTGAAGTAGATTTTGATATGTAAATATGCTGCGATTTAGTGTATTAAATATCTGTGCGTGTGAACTATCAGTGGAAACGTTGTAACAAGTACTCCGATGGTGGTGTGAATCTCAAGATAGGGTGTCTCTCTGCTTAGGCGCCAAATGTCGGCTGGCTCAAGTTGCAATTAAAATTTCCAAAAACTACGCAATATGATGCATTAAGATATTGTAAAGCAGTGTATTATAAAGAATAATTATCACTCGAAACAGAAAATCTATAAAAACGAAGATCCCGAATGAAATGAAGACATGGCTTAAAGGATAAGCATCCAAGCCAAAAATCTTAATTAATTTTTTTTTATAAAATTAAATGCAAACCCAAGCATACCACTGCAAGACTTCAAGATACTATAAGCACATTCTGCGTAGATCGTGCTGTAAAGCACCCGAAACGTCGGGAATCAGTTAATCAGGAAAAGTTAAATTAAACGCGATAGAATCCAAAAAAGTTAGTTTCATTTAATGTGTAGTTTTCGCGTGAATATAAGAAATCACTATGTGAATAGATTTGGCTAAAAATTATTCAAAGAGCTTTGAGTCTTGTCAGTCTTAAGTAGATTATACAGTATCAACTTACCGCGTTAGGACTATGAGCATACTTTTGCCAATGACTGCATCCGCGGAATACCAGGAGCAGTTGTAAGCAGCGTCACAGACTGCTGTGCTCTGTCGGTTACGCAAAATTAAACTTTGTGTTATGTTTTTTTTTTTATAGAATAAGGGTGACAAACCAGCACACAGTCCACCTGATAGTAAGTAGTTGCTGTGACCCATAGACATCGAAATCTATCCTCAATAAAGACTCAAAATGCAGATGCGTTGTCACCCGTGAGGACTAAGATGGAATGCCTCGTTTCTAGTAAAAACGGTCTCTGGTTCTCTACATTCACCATACGAAACACAGCAGTGTTAAGCTGCTATTTTAGGCTGGTATTCTGTGAGAGCGTGGTCCTACCTCAGTCGAGCCGACCCATTCGTGCTACAACTATACTACTAATATAGCTGCAACATGACTCTACCACATATAAACGTGTGCAGACAACACAAAATATGACAAATAATATTTCTTTACAATGATATATTATCCGCTAGATAAGTCTCTTCTGAAACTTGGAGAAGTTTGATTTTCATAATATGGGTAAACACTTAACCCGGAAAAATTATTTGTAGGTTATACCGATACTTGTTCGTGCGGTTGTTGAACCCGCGGCCCGTAGCGCCACCACTAAATACTTAGTCTTATATTATGAAAAAAAAAACCCGTATAGCAGTAACTATCCTTTATTTATTATTTGGTGTGAATTTTCACAGCATCCATCTAGCCATTGCAGCCTATAAAAAGTGCACTGCTAAACATGGCCACCCTCATAGATTGCCTCATAGAAGGGATTTTGCCATAGTTGCCAGTTTTTTATTATTTTGAGTTTGTTATCAGGAAGACATTGCTGCCAATCTATTGTTTCAGTTTCCCTTTGTCGCCTCTTACGACATCCTCGGGACTTCTTACACCGCCACTGCACATTCTCATAGAATACCAGCGTAAAATAGCAGCCTGGAAATGAGGCATTCAATCTTAGTCCTCATATGTGACAACGCATATGCATTTTGATTCTTTTTCGAGGGTGATTGTATGTCTTTGGGCTACAGTATCCACTTACCATTAGGTGGACTGTGAGCTTGTTCGTCATCATTATGCTTTAAAAAAAACACAAAATGTGCCTATTTGAACATGGTATACGCAGACCGACATCAGGGAGCGACGTTAAATGCTAATCGTCTTGTACTACAATTAAAAAAAAATCTTAGGGTTGCCACTGAAAATCAGAGCTAGGTTTAGCATATCCTGAATGGCTGTCCTATTTGAACCATTTCACACCGAACCGAAGTTTTTAAGTTTGGCTATTCGTTTTTCATTTTTATTTTTTTACTTGTTGTTGTTGTTCCCTGTTAGTGTATAATTAAGTTTACTTATATGCTTATAAGTTATGCTTTATATAATGTTACATTGAGTTGCCAGGGCACACCAAAAATTGTAAAAAAAAACGACGAAATAAAAATCTCGTTATTTCTCTCTTTCTTTTTTTCAATTATCAGTTCGCCGGCCAAGCCTGGCAATTATATTATGACAAAGGGAGAGGTCCATTTTTTTATAAGAGACGGGTCAAACAAGCATACGGCTCACCTGATGGTAAGTGACTACCGCCACCCATGAACAACTGCAACACCAAGGGAATTGCAGGTGCGTTGCCGGCCTTTTAAAAAGGAGTAAGCTCTTTTCACTCTTCACTCGGAGATTTTAACGGGCTAAAATCTCCGAGTGAACATGAACCCACTATTCCTGCACAAACAGCATTTGAATAAAGTCATTATCGAAAGTAAAATGGGTTGAGTATATGCGACTGCCAACCCTACTACAAAATCCAATATTTTGTAGTAGGGTTGGCAAAACAATAAGTTATGAGTGTGAACGAATAGAGAATTCACCTGTGCTTGCGCACTTACTCCTACAAATTAATTCTGTCTTGCGCAAATGGTTAATCTCCGTTAAGAGTCGCTGCCGTGACTAATAATAATAATTCCATCTGGAGGATATTATTATTTAAATGTTGTGGTTGTGGATGCGTGTCTATTCACCAAACGCGCACATACGCCCACGCTTCTGGACACATATATACACACACACTCTCATACACACAGTGCTAAAACGTGGAAAATATTAAAATAAGGTCTTGTTTAAGTATTAAATAGAATAGATACGTACCGACTGCATCAGCATATCGCCAAAGAAGCAAAGTAAGTAAACTTGCAGCAAGCAAGTGGACAGAAAGATCAGGAACGTAAAGATGAGCGCCATATCTTCTATGGCCTATAAAAAAGTTGTTTGATACAAGTGTTACAACTTTCTTAAGTTTGATATTTAGTTGCAATACATAATATGTGACAGGTTGAAGGAAAAGGGGAGATCTCCCTCCGGGCAAGGTGTGCTGCCCGGGGAGCGGCCAACGCTCCGATTGGTAGTTCTGATATGCTGCTTTAACTTCGGAACTTTGTTAGTGCGATTTAGGCTTCGATGTGTTTCGCTTGTGGCGCGACGACAGCGCCGCAACACCACCCCCCTGCTCAGACCGGAGGTCGATAGTGCAGTCTAGATGTCGACGAATTTGCAAGTGCCAGGGAATTGCCTTGTATGTGTGCGGTGAGTCGAGAAGAAGGCAAGAAATCTGTGAGAGTGCCGTGAAGCAGAGGCGAGTAGTAAGGCTCAGAGCCGTGCCGAACACTGTAGCGCAGAGAGTAGCTTGAAGGAACAGGAAGCATTATTATTCCAGTGCTGCGATGAACATTTGTAAAGCTAGATGGCTTGCAGAATGTGAAGACTGCAGACAATATGTGCTCGTGAGCGAATGAATGGTGTACTTGCGGATAATGAAGGTTTGAAGGTGTAATTTCCGAAGGTTTGTTGGTTGCGTGTTCATATCACGTTGGGGTCACCACTGTGGCGGGTGGAAGGAAAAGGGGAGATCTCCCGCCGGGCAAGGTGTGCCGCCCGGGGAGCGGCCAACGCTCCGATTGGTATTTCTGAGTTATTCTATATATGCTGCTTTAACTTCGGAACTTTGTTAGTGCGATTTAGGCTTCGACGTGTTTCGCTTGTGCGCACATAGTTGATATCTATTTTTATAAAGGTTCCATTCTATTTTTGTAAATAGTTCTCCAGTTTTAGTCTTTGCTGGACAAAGTCTCGGATTGGGGGCGACTAAATCTAGTCCAGTTTAATCCTCAGAAGACACAAGTTTGCGCGTTTACCGCTAAAAAGAACCCCTTTGTCGTATCTCCTCAGTTTCAAGGCACTCCCCTTCTTGCCTCAGCCAGTATCGGTATCCTCGGAGTCGACATATCGAGTGACGTGCAGTTTCGTGGTCACTTGGAAGAGAAGGCCAAATTGGCCTCTAAAAAGCTTGGCGTGCTCAGCAGAGCGGGACAGTATTTCATGCCGGCACACCGCCTGCAACTTTACAAGGCGCAGGTTCGGCCTCACATGGAATACTGTTCCCATCTCTGGGCAGGGGCTCCCCAGTGCCAGCTCCTTCCACTTGACCGCATCCAGCGCAGAGCGGCTCGAATCGTCGACGACCGAGCCCTTTCCGATCGGCTCGATTCATTGGCACTGCGAAGAGATGTTGCATCTCTTTGCATTTTCTTTCGCATCTACCATGGGGAGTGCTCTGAGGAATTGTTCGGATTAATCCCAGCCGCCAAATTTCACGAACGCACATCGCGGCAGAACTCCCGATACCATCCACACCATCTGGATGATTGGCGGTCCACCACTGTGCGATTTAGAAGATGTTTTCTTCCTCGCACAACTTCCTTGTGGAATAGTTTACCACCAGGGATTTTTCCGGACCGATACGACTTAGGGACCTTCAAGAAAAGAGCCTACTCCTTTTTAAAAGGCCGGCAACGCATCTGCAATTCCCCTGGTGTTGCGGTTGTTCATGGGCGGCGGTAGTCACTTACCATCAGGTGAGCCGCATGCTCGTTTGCCCCCTCTCATATAAAAAAAAAAAAAAAAAAAAAAAAAACATAGATGCCTCATAGTTCGCACTTGACAGACGGACATTGATATCAGACGGATTAGCAACCGCAGTTTTTTTATTATTTTGAGATGACTTACTACGCTTGGAAGACGGATCGGCATCATTTTTTTTTATTATTTTGAATTTTGTCAGGAATGTGCTGCTGGCCATTTGCTGTTTTCGTTTCCCTGTGTCGCCTCTTATGACATACATATGACAAAAGGTTTATATAAGTAATTTATACACCACGTGATTGCTTTCATTACTAAGTATATGTAGTGGCACGAAAGTCTAGCGGTGATCGTTATTGCGCATAAGTCGGCGTTCGTTATTGCGTAGGCAATGATGATGATAATAATGAATGATGAATCGTAAATACAAATAATACCACAACGTTGAATCCAGTGAGGCAGATAAGAATAGAGCTCGACAAAAAGTTATAGAGAATAGATTTTGTGTAAATAGCTTCTAGTAGGTACACAGAGCTGCAAGAAAAATATTTTTTAATAAATTACTAACACTTCAACGATAATAAACTAGACGTAGATGAGTCACATACGGCGATGTAACAGAATCCACTATTCCATATCATCCCGTGGGTGTCGTAAGAGTCTACAGATGGGAAAAAAACTGGAGATGGACATCAACATTTCCTTGAAATTACTTAAAATAATTTCAAGAAGATATATATACATATTTTTTATCGATTTGACTCGAGATAAGCCAGGGCAAGGCTAGTTAGGCCATAAAGGTTCACAGATGGACATTGGCTATTCCGTTGTGGATACGATTTGCTTAAATCGTCACTCACGGCAGGCGAATTTTTTTTTAATAGAATAAGGGTGACAAACGAACAGATAGTCCACCTGATGGTAAGTAGATGCTGTGACCCATAGACATTTACATTTACCTTCGAATAAAAATGAAAATGCAGATGCATTGTCCCCAATGGTTCTCTATACTCACCATACGAACACAGCAGCACTAAGCTGCTACTTTACGCTGGTATTCTATGAGAGCGTTGTCTTACCCCGGTCGAGCTGCTGCATTCGTGCTACAACCATAATATAGCTGCAGAGTGGCTCTACCACGTAAGATGCCATTAAAGATTGCAATAAGCAGCAATCTTGCACCTTTAGTGTCTGCGCTCACAGATGACACGACATGGTATGGCGTGGTAAGGCACACTTCGGGACACCGAAGGATTCTGTGGCATCCCGCGGCCAAATAAGTCAAGACGCGCTCGTGTACCGGACGCTCGCACGAGTCGCTTTTTGCGGATTGCCGCCGCAACGGGCTAGATTTAACCTTGTTTCAATTACTTAACAGTCACATTCTTTTAACAACATGAAGTAAGATATGCGTTTCACGTGATGCGGCGCGGCAGGCGGCAACACCGCGGCACTCCGTGGTGTTGCGCGAGACGTCTCGGTATATTCGTGTTGTAATAAAGGAATGCCAGTGGTAACATCATTATAATAAGGTCGAAAATCTTTTGTTCGATGCTTATAGCGCCATCTATCGGAAGCCATATATTTTTCTGGGATTTCCCATAGCCGCCTTTAATCGACGGAACCTCATGAAGTGATGGATTTTCTTACGCTCCCGCCTCGTATCTACAAACCGTATGCACATCTGATGCCTCTTGACGAGATTCACGAATTTGTTCTTAAACACTTCATCACGGAAGCTTATTGCAGTGTTGTTTCCTAGGCCGGGTATTATGTTCCCCATGTCATACTGGAGAAGCCTGAAATGGATCCTGATGTAGGTGCAGAAGGTAAAGAGCAGATAGTCCGCACTATATGTGTCTAGCATCACCACGCACCCTGAGAATGAGATGGAAACGATTAAGCATTATTATCTGTTTTAGCTAATTTTACCATGACTATAGATCTTAATTACTATCATAAAAGAGCTACAAAAACATTTTAAAATCTAAATGCAAAGGAGTCTTTTTTTATAGCATATGGATGACAAACGAGCACACAGTCCAGCTGATGGTAAGTGGTAACTGCGGCCCATACACATCTACATCTATCAGATGCGTTGTCAGCCGTAAGGACTAAGATAGAATGCCTCTTTTCCATTAAAACTGGTCTCAGGTTCTCTACACTCACCATACGAAGCACAGCAGCATCAAGCAGCTATTTAACGCTGGTATTCTGTGAGAGCGTGGTCCTTTCCCGGTCGAGCCGACCCATTCGTGCTACAACTATACTATTAATATGCGAACCACGTAAACTTTAGAGATTTTTTAAAGAAATAATTACACTAACTTTGGCCTCTCAGAATATTTATAATAATTTAATGTCATAAGTGTATGTATACAAAAGCAAAAATATTTTTATTAAAAATAGTGATGTATAATGTGTCAATACTAGAAGTAAGCTAAAAATTTATAACGTGGTAGAGCCATGCTGCAGCTATTAGTAGTATAGATGCAGCACGAATGTGTCGGCACGACCGGGGAAGGACCACGCTCTCACAGACTACCAGCGTAAAATAGCAGCTCAACGCTGCTGTGTTTCGTATGGAAACGGGGCATTCCATCTTAGTCCTCACGGGTGACAACCATGAAGCTAATGCTTCATGGTGACAACACATCTGCATTTTGATTCGTGATCGAGGATAGATGTAGATGTATACGGGCCACAGCAACCACTTACCATCAGGTAGACTGTGTACCCGGTTGTCACCTTAATAGAATGCCACATTTAATAGAAAAATATTATATAATAATGTTAATTAATAATGTTTAAAAATAAGTCCCGCTGGTTCTTCCCAGGCCAGAGGTATTTCCTCTCCAGCGGTAAAAGCATAATTGACTTTCAATAAGACTTTCAATAATGCTTGTAATCTACTATGAATAAAAATTATTCTATTTTATTACGAGTATATTCTATTGGAACAGAACTGCACAATGCCTTGCAATGCATATGCGTTTTCACCTTGAGGACTGAAAGATGAAATGCCACGTTTCCAGTAAAAAGCGTCTCCGGTTCTTTACACCCACGTTGTTCTGCTTATTTTACGCTGGTATTTTGTGAGAGTGTAGTTTTTTTTTATAGGATAAGGGTGACATACGAGCACACAGTCCACCTGATGGTAAATGGTTGCTTCGGCCCATAGACATCTACATCTATCTTCGTTTGTGAATCAAAATGCAGGGGCCTCCGGCCACCTGCACTCACCAAGCGAAACGCAGATGTATACCTCTACTTCACGCTGGTATTCTGTGAGGTCGTGGTACCACCCCGGTTCGAGCCGGCCCATCCGTGCGACAGCAAAAGCTGCCGCGTGGCTCTACCACTGTCGTAGTTCTTCGCGATCCTTCAAGCCGACCCATTCGTGGTACAACCATAATTTAGCTGCAACGTGGATCCACCAGAGTTACCGCCACCGTTGATAGCTGAACTGTATAACGCGTGCAAATCACACCATGGTATTTTTTAGGGTTGGAAGATCCATATATATATATATATATATATGATTATAAATAAATTAAAAAATATTTAAATTACTAAGCTATACATATAGCTTAACAATTTAAATGTTTCGAACTTACCGGACCAAAACTGATGCATGTACACGAAAGGCCAATACCTAATGTCGTAAGAATTGAATGGATAAACCACAAGGAAGGGCAGCATCAGCTCAAATTCTTTCGTCTTCAAATATTCGATCAACATCAACACTAACGGACAGCTGGAGAATGTTACTATCATTATTACGTTGAAGATATTCAGCGTATTAATAATATTATTTAAAAATCTTCTTTCATCTGCTATTATTGATTCTTTTTTTTCTACAATCTCGCTTTGCTTTTCTGTTGACTCCAAATACCGTATACTGTCAATAAGTTCGTCGACACGCTTTTCATTGACTGTCAATATTATAGCTTTTAAAAATGCCAAGGAACTTAGACCAATGCAAGGAGCAATATACGTGAGATCAATAAATCTTTTTCCTTTCATTATACCGTCTATAAACCAGTATATAGAACCAGTAACGTCAAAACCCGCCCAGGAGATGTTTAATAGGTATATACAACGTGTTTTTATTTTTTCTTTAAAGGTTTTCGTTTTAGTGTCCAGCAGCAAGCCCGCGTAGTGGAATGTAAATGTGATTTTTTCCAGTGATTTATCAAATAGCAACGTACGTCCAGACATTGTTCCACTGTTGACCATCTGCTTTTCTAAGTCTGATTGTATCTGAGCATTTAATTTACTTTATAATATCTGATATAATCTAATTATTACCTTAATGTCTTTCAGTAAAAATTTGTCTTTTAAATTAAATGTGTGATATACACAGGCTGTTTAAAATGTGTATAAGTGTATAGAGGTATCAATTATCACTATCAATAACAAAAAATAAAAGAAAATAAAAAAGCTACCGAACATAGGTCAGAGGAACATCATTTTGAAACGGAAGTAGATTAAGGTAATTACAGTATAACTGTAATTACTCTAACATTAAGGCCGTCTCATAGTACGGTGTAAAGTAGTAAAGTAGTTGCTGGTTCTTCCCAGGACAGAGGTATTTTCCGAACCAGTGGTAAATAAAAAAAAGGCTTTCATATAATTAATAGAATCAGGCGTTACTTTGCGGAAATCCATTATATAAAAGCTTTTAGAAAAATTTTACTTCGCAAATATCCGCGTTATAAAATAAAATGATGTGTCTTACCTAGTATGAGGAGCACCTACCGCCCTCCCTCAATTGCGTGCACTATCCCCTACACCACTAATCCCAGCACCACACTTCACATAAGTGAAGTCTTAGCGGTTAGCCACCGTAGAGTCTATATCACCTGCGGATGCCTCGTTTAGAGGCGAAACACGTGTCGTATTATCGTCAGTGGTGTGTCTTGCCTAGTGTAGTGGTGTTGGAAGTAGCGGTGCTGGGATTAGTGGTGACGGGGATAGTGCACGCAAATGAGGGAGGGCGGTAGGTGCTCTTCATACTAGGCAAGACACATTATTTTATTTTATAACGCGGATATTTGCGAAGTAAAATTTTTCTAAAAGCTTTTATAAAAGGCTTTCAACAAAAAATTATTATGTAATACTATGTAATAATCTATATTGAATAAAAATTATTCTATTCTATTCTAGGTAAATGTGCTCGTCGACAATTTCGAGTGTAACACATGTACTTTGTTTTGTCCATATTATTCATTTTAAGATCCATGCTTTGAGAGACACTATTGAAGTTTTTGAGCATAGTGCTTAGGACCTCCAGCGACTGCCATAAAGACTATACCGTCGATAGATCGAAGTTGAGTGATCTACTCGCCATTGTTTTTGATATCGTATCCTTTACAGTCCAAAAACTTGAAAACGTCTTCCAATGCAGCGGAATGCAATGCAATCCAAACAGTTGAATAGGTTTCGTACTCTGGTTCTGTACTCGGAAGCCATCGTAGCCCTACTGTAAAACACTTCACCACTTCGATATACTGACAGTCAACTTGGCACCGCTGAAGGGACTCTAGTTCAGCCGAAATTTCGACGGAATCAAATGCTTTCTCACAGGCTACATACGCAAAACAAAGTGACAGATTGTACTCTTCTGCATTTCGTACAATTTGCCGAAGGGTATGTATGTATGTGGTCTGTGGTACGAAAGCCTTATCGGAAACTGACTTTTTCAGTAAGTCGGAAGTCTTCGGAGTCTATGTGCGAGACTATTCGTAAAGACCCTCGAAAACAGCACATAGACGTGATTCAGAAGTGAAATCGGTCTGTAGTTCAGTAGAGCGTTGTCGTCTTTCTCGAAGAAGAAGACCACCACACTTGTTCCACCGCTTTTAGGCTCCATCTCGCTTATACTGACGTTCGAAATGTCATCTGAATAGTGTCGCATGACATCATCCTCCTCGAAATAGTTGGCAACCTAGATCTACTCTTATTAGTTTATAGCGTTTTTTGCGTTTAACGATAATTCAACGGCTGGATTGTAACTTGACCATAATTAATAGAATCAGGCGTTACTTTGCGGTAATCCATTATATTAAAGTTTTTAAAAAGTTACCTCGCGTACATCCTTTCGATAAAATAAAATGATGTGTCTCACCTAGTTTGAAGAGCACCTCCCGCCCTCCCTCAATTGCGTGCACTATCCCCGTCACCAATAATCCCAGCACCACTACTCCCAACACCACTACACTAGGAAAGACACACCATTGACGACAATACGACACGTGTTTCGCCTCTACACGAGGCATCTTCAGGTGATTTAGACTCTGCGGTGGCTGACCGCTGACATAACCGCTCCGACTTAACCTCTAAAGTGGCAAACATGCTTAAGCTGTAAGCGCATAGATGGAAGGAAAAGAGAATTTGTCACAATCTCTACTCGTAACAGGAAGAGTCATGTGGTGGCGGCGTAAGGAAATCAATCACCCCATTTCGTCCCGTGGGTGATGTAACTATAGGAAATGCCAGAAAAATCTCGGCTCTAGACTCGGGGGAGTCCATTTCGCAGTTGCAGTAAGAGGCCGTGGAGGAAGGTGCGCCTTGTGTTCCTGGTGCGCCTTACCTGTGACAGAAAGGGGGAAGAGAAGCCCTCCCCGAGGATGGGCTGCCATGGGGGGACCGGCGCTGGTGGGGCCGCGGGTGTGTGGCGAAATCGTTCCATGGCCCTGCCAATATGCAGCGAAGGTAGAACTACATGGGGTTTTAGTAGGTGCGAGTCCGATATAACCCGTCCTTGCCCCCGCGAGACGGTTATGCGTAGGCATTTCCCCATGAAAAAAAAGTGTGGAACTGTTTTGATATTAGGTCTTATTTCAGAAAATCAAATTTATTTTATTTTTAAGGATGAAAAGTATTATACCATTTTCAAATCTAAGATAAATGGACCATCTTTTAAAGTAGCTTGCGTGTAGTATAAGGTAACAGTAACGGTCACTGCTAGACTTACGTGCCACGACTTATACGGTGTGTTTTTTAATGAAGAGTCAAAGTTAGGTGACCTTATTTTTTCAACTACGTCTAAAAGAAAATACGTTAATTTTAACTAACCTAGCAAACTTTTTTGTTTGATTTGTGACTGCGATTTATATCACGTTTATTTAAGACCATGTTAGTGAAACAATCACTGTAATATTGAGGAATTTGTGGTCACTATAACCCAATGATATGATAAGGATAAGGTGTCGATTTTCCTCATTTTCATAAATTTGTCAGTTATAATTGAACTAACTGATATGGATTTATTTCTTTATTTTTTTCGGGTCTGGTATGACCGGGTCTGGTACGGGGAGAGGGGGGGGGCCTCTCCCCGTACCTCCTTGTCCTAGAGTTTTGGGACACGTTGTATATACACATTATATGTATAATAACCAGGCATATCTGTTTTTTAATAAAGAACACAATATGGTAAGATTTATAAAAAGAAACTATTGCGTTCTGTTCTGATCGATTAACTCTTTACATTGTAAAGTGTTAATCGATCAGCATACCTCACGTCAATCGAATCAAAACATTTACAATATCATTTATTAAAGACGTATTGCTATTTAAAGTCAAACGAAGCTGTATAAAATTATTATATATTAATTATTGAAATAAAACTACAATCCTACCAGGGCCTACGCAATATATATTTACATACAATACAGGTTAAGCGGCGAAGTAATAGCATTGTTCAATTGTGTGGGGGTTCCGTACAAAAAGCGCCAATTGTATAGTGGTTCTAGGTCTAAGAAAACAATTGACAAAGGATAATTTTCAAGCGCGCTAGTGTTTTAAATTGTTTCCACAGGCACTTCGGTTTTTTTTTTTTAATAAAAGTGGGGGACCACCGAACATGCGACTCGCTTGATCGTAGACCGCCACCCACGAGAAACTGCAACACCGGGGGAAAAGCACGTTCATTGCCAGCCTTTTTAAAAGAAATAAACATAAATTTCCCGCCAACTATTCACATTTAAAGAGGTTTGTAAATTTTCGGCAAATAACAAGTTTTTATATTTCTGATCAGAATGAAATCACTTTAATATATAACACGTCTTTAATAATTATAAGGCTATTTAAATATTTTATTTCATTGACTAAAATATTGTAAAGCGTAGAGTTGTCTCTCCTGTAGTAAACATGAAAATGATGTGTAAACATATTTAGGATAACAATTTAGCACAAAACTGTTATATTTTTAATGTATTTTGATTGTTACCTGTTTTGTTGTCCATATAGTAAATAAATAAAAACGTTAGGTATTCAAAATAAGCACAAGCAAAAGTAATTAACGATTTTTATCAAAGCGTTCAGAAGGATAGTTATGGTCTATGTCTATGGGAATATATTTTCTTTTGGGAATATTATTGAAAAAGAAATACTTAAATAAATATAAAAAATAAAATGGATTGCAGCAAAATATTCCTACAGTACCAGAGTTACCGCAACGCCGTTATTCTGCCGATATTTATAATATGTAATAAATATGTCATTATATGTAAATATGTAATAAATATGGTAGCTCAGATGGTTAGCGCTCGCTGTAAATTTCACAGTACGCGAGCAACCCGGGTTCGACACCCGCCGGCATGAATGAAATTGTCAATTGCAATTTTTAGCGCTGATTTACCACGTGCTCCGCGGTGAAGGAAAACATCGTGAGGAAACCTGCATGTCCGAGAAATAAACAAAAATTTGAAGACGTGAAGTTCGACAGCACGCGTTGGGTCAGCGCGGTGTACACTTCCTTGACTTAAAACCCTCTCAGAAGTGAGAAAGGCCTGTGCCCAACAGTGGGCCGTATGTAGACTGTAACTTTACTTTACTATATGTAATATAATCCGAAGATTATTGTCGACACTTTTTCTCTACTCTCTAACAAACACAATACCGATAATTCTCTTCATTAATTTCGTCTATATTTTCTACCGACTTCAAAAAGGAGACAGTACTCAATTCGACTGTATGTTTTTTTTTGTGTGTGTTACCTCAAAACTTTTTACTGGGTGGACCGATTTCGATGATTCGTTTTTTATTTGAAAGCTGGTGGTCCCATATAAATTTAATCAAGGTCTGACCAATCGTTTTTGGGTCATTCCTAATAATTTACATTGAAGTTGGTTGTACAAAATTTTTTATTTTAAATTATGTATATTAAAGTGAAGTAGCAATCGAACGTACAGTCCACCTGATGGTAAGTAGTTACT